GAATGTGTGGACACGTGCAATTTACCTTACGTTTACGTAAGGAGAGGACTTGAAATGTTAACTGATATGTCTCGATGATAAAAAAAAAAACAAAAAAAAACAGAAAAGTCAGGAAAGAAAGCGATCGAAAATATTTTTTTTTTAGTTCTTAAAAGAACTTACAAATGATAATAAAGCATCGATGCAGCTGATTCTAGTCAAACCAATATCCCAAGCACGAAATTTCCTCAAAATTAAAAACAAAAATCTACCATTAGTGATAAGAAAGGCTGACTTGACATATGCGTCAAGCTTTGATTGCTCTTGTTTTCTTTTCTTTCCTTTTTTTTTCTTTTTGTTTTTCTTTTTTTTTTTGCGTCAATTTTTCTCGACATAGAATATTGAGAATGGTGGCCGCTTGTTTGGTATTTTCTCAGCTGTAAAATTAACAGCATATCGTTTTGCTGGCCTTCACATGACGTCGACCATGTTGATGGTAATTTCACGAAATGTTACTCACGAAAATATCTAAAACACCAACCTTTTGGGTTCCCATTTATTTATTTTTTTTTTCCTTCTTTTTTCTGCGTTAATTTTGAAGGTGTTTAATTAGTTTAGATTTTTGGTGTGATTCCACCGTTGTTGTTCTCGACTTGTTATTATTTTCTATTATTTATTTATTTATTCATTTCTTTTTATATTTATCTTTCTTTCTCTACATTTGTAGCCTTCACTACCGTATCAAGTATGCATGCTATCTGTACGAAAACAGTCGCGATTATCAGCCACTAACTGATAACCACAGGTACACCGTGTATATTTATTACGTTTTTTGTTTATTATTTAAATTATACATAAATCCTAATTAATGGTTGGGATGCCTGTGTAGTGATCATCGTCACGATAGTGAATAACGAATGATGTAAAAAAAAACATTAAAATCCTTYTTTCAGTTCTAGTCGCTCATACCGTCGTTATCGATGACGTTGTCATTGTCGTGGTCGTTCTTAGTGTTATTGATGGTATTGCTTATGTTGTTGTTGCCGTCATAGTTACCGCTGCGTAGTCTCCTKTGCTTCGAAATTAGACGACCGTTTAGCGTGCAATAATAGAAGCATTTTTCCACGCCTACAGGCAATTAAATCTACAGATATCTATCATTGCACGCGCAGTAGTCTCCTTCACGGTTCCCTGAGCCATGTTGAAGGCGGCCGTCTATTTACATCGAATTAAGCGAGACAACCGTTGAGCGTGCAATGATTGATACCTGTGAATACTTGTTTGTAGGCATAAAAGAAGGTTTCTATCATTGCAAGCTCAACGGTCGTCTTGATTCGATGTAAAGACACTGCTGCCTTTCAGCATGGCGCAGGGAACCGTGAAGAAGATTATCGTTGTCTTCCATTGATGCAAAATTCAGGCTAACTTTCAAAATGGCACAGGGGAACATAAGGAGACTTTGCGACAATCATGTAGCTCTAACGTCAAGGAATTTTCTTTTCAAAATATCAGATCAAATGAGGACATTCTTCATCCTACATACGAGCAAAATGCTATTATCAAGCATGATATTAGAGAAAGGGAAGTCATCAAAATCGTTGCCTTTGCAGGTATGTACAGGCTCKCTTTTTTCTAAATGATTCTATTAGTCTACGTTTTGACCCTGATAATAATKTCTTCATTGTATAACGTTCAATTAAATTACATTAAATTAGTAAATTTACTACTATTTGTCAATCATATGTCAATAGGAACAGGAAAGACGACAACATTGGTCAAATTCACCGAACGCCATCGTGAAATGTCCTTTCTCAACGTGTGTTACAACAAGTAAGCCTCGTAACCATGCAAAGAGCGAGTCATAGAGTCCACCATTTTGCAACTCGATTCGATCATTCTGTAACTTTTATATGCATTTATCCATCCTCGGGAACCCAGGGGTAATCTTCTGTTGTTCGTTCTTCTCACTCCYAGAGGAACGAACAAAAGAGATAGCAAATTAACAAAAAAGATAGCAAAAGAGATAGCAAATAGTCGTTCGTTCCTCCCAGAGCCGGAACGAACAACAGAAGATTACACCTGGGTTCCCGAGGATAACATTTCTCTCAACTTATTTTTCTGTGTTGTCTTTTTATTTCTCTTCTTTGAGACGCAATAATATCACTGTAAGTAAATAAACATTAATAAAGACAAAATTTAGAAAAACCACTTTTGAAAAATAGAGCTTGAGACCAAGGTATTTTGGCATCATTGGTACCTTATAGATCACTGATAATGATAGTTCTTGGTGGAAGCATTAAAAGTATATGTTTTTACAATATTTTTGTCTCTGCACTCAAAAAGTATTTTCGACATATAAAGATACATTCATTTGCTATCATTTCCATTGAATTCACTTCATTTTAAAAGGTCTATACAGCAACAAGCAGAAAGGCTCTTCCCAGAGAACGTCGAGTGTCGTACATGGCATTCACTAGCATACAGAGCAATCGGCGAAAGGTACTGAACAGCTTTTTCAAGCAARGTTTTCAGAGAAAGTGGCGATAGTAGACTGTTGTTTGCACGTCCAAAAAGAATCATARTGAAAATTTTGTTCTCTTTTTCCTAGATATAGATCCCAGCTAACYGGGAACATGAGAGTGCAAAATATAACCAATTGTTTRTCAAAAGACACRAASTTTCTGCACGCGCGACGAGTAATGAAAGCTCTGTCAAGTTATATTTCATCATCAAGACAASAGATYACCGTCATTGATGTCGAGGACTGTCCTCCAATTGAAGATCCMGAGAAAAATCGATACTACAATAGTCAGGAGTATAAAGAGGTTAATTTTTTTATAGATGATTAAGATTGACACATTAAGGTTTTGACGACTTTTAATTACCAACAAGGATCTATTGCGCTTTAGATATAAATGGTTGTGAGTTTTCATCGTGAAATGACTGCATGAAATGACTGCGTGAAACGAAATGACTGCATGAATAGAACAGTATCGATAAACTAAATGGATATTCATATATTATGYTGTATTTTCATTTGGTTAGATTGTCGTTAAAGACGCAAAAACGTGTTGGAAGAAAATGATTGATGTCGATGATAAGACTTTATACATGACACACGACGGTAAGATATAATAAGCTTTATAGATGTACATGTTGCTAATGTTTGACCAACAAAATTACTTTTATTTTGGAAATTGCGAAAGCGTACAAGGAAGAAAGGAACAGGAATAATATCTATCTAAATTAATAGCCTTTCTACCTATGGGCTGCAGCCCTTTTTTAAAAAGCCTTTTTTAAAGGCTAGTGTGCACCATTATGCTTCGGTGACCGCTAGGACCTGGCGGCGGCCATTTTCAGTTTACCGAAAGTCTATACTGAAATTTACTGTGTGTTTCGAATCCGCTCATATCTTGACCATCTCACTGATCTAATCACTTTCAACGCTAATATTTGAGTTTTCAACCATCGGACATTCCTTTTATGGTGATATTTGGACACTAGAAGTATTTTAAAATCTTAACAATAACAGAGGCGCGCAAAGCATAATGGTGCAAATGTGTTGCCGTACTATTTGAGAAAGAATGCACAAAAATTACAAAACAAAACAGGCTTGGCCATGGTATGAGGAAGAATAAACTGACTGATATCTTTTAAACTATTACAGGATATTTGAAACTGTACCAGCTCTCGAATCCAGTACTTGACGACATGTATSACTGTATTCTAATTGACGAGGCGCAGGACTGCACACCAGGTATTTTACCTAAATATGGAGTTTTGAATGTTCCAAATGTGTTTTCTAATATCCTCTTTTAATGTAGTTTTTGGTTTAGCATTGGTTGCTTTCATTCGCGTACGAATCATTCAATAGAGCAATGGACAGCAACGCCACTTTATGCAACTAAGCATGCTGGGAAAATTAGTTCAGTCAATATTTTTATGTCCCCTGCCCAGCTGGATACTCTCATAAAATGTCTTTGTGCCTCCTTCATTATGGATAATCAGAACGTAAGCTTACCTAAAAATACATAGGACTGGGTGGCCTACGGTTCACTGCGTCATTTGGAGTTGTATCCATACTTTTGCACCGAGCTTCCAATGATGGATACCTGTGAATAATTGTTTATATATGTGAAGGTCCCTATCACTGCAAGCTTACTTCTCGTCTTGCTTCGATGAAAAGGCATGATTTGGTTGGGTATTCGGCGAGGGAATTGTGAAGTAAACTATTCAGAGGAAAAAAATCAGAACGCTTTCTTCAAACGAAGATATGTCAAATTCAAACCCAACCAAATGAATGTTAGAAATAAAGATATCCGACACATCTTAATATTTCCATTACTGTACACAGCAAATGCAAGCATACTCTTGAATCAAAACTGTACAAAGATCCTGGTCGGGGACCCTTATCAACAGATTTATAGCTTTAGAGGAGCAAAGAACATCATGAATGAAATTCGCTGTACCACTACATTCTACCTTACTCAGGTATTTAAAGCATGGAACATTCTATAAATATCTCATCATCAAACGCCAATTCATGTATAGTTGGGGGACAAGATTTTATTCTTTTACTACCTTGTTTTAATGGAAATACCAAATCATAGTGAATTGTGGTCTAGATTCAGCACAAACAATGCCATATTTGGCAGCATGAACAAAAGATGTTTGTACTAAACCTAGGCCTCAATGCAATGCAAACTGCTATCTCAGAAATGGCCTTTGGTACATTTTGTTGATTGAGCCCAATGTATGTTGGATGGAAAAGACCTCTTCTGCTTTTACGTCTTGTACCGTATACGCAATGCATTGTAGGACATSTTTGSGACAAAACATGGCGGATTTCTTTTGTTTTCTCTTGAAACTGATCCCACAATGCATTGAAAATCAAGTAGTGACGTAAATGGTTCAGAAGTTCAAAAACGTATTCAAAAACGTATTCATTAATAATGAGCCGTTTTGGTCACATGAATCAGCTTTTTAGTAGTACAMAATAACATAGTTAATAGAGGGAGACTATCTCCCTCTACCAACTATGACAATAAGTATCACAGAAGTTTGTCCAGTGCTGTAGCCTACTCTTTTATTATTCTTCCAGTCGTTTCGCTTTGGTTCCGAGATTGGTTACGTTGCTAACAGTCTTCTAGAGTGCCTCAAGGATGTTCATCATAAGACATTGATGGGTAATCCCAAATCAGGTGTGTCCAGTGCGGTAGATTGCTCGTATGTGAAGGAGATGGTGTCAATTATCAATTCACAATCTGTTTCCATCTATTATGCAACATTGTCATTCATTTATCATGAAGGAATTGTCAAAAGTATGGCCTTGTTTATAATACGACGACTATTCAAGGTCCCTGTACCAGACTCGTACCCAGTCGTTACTCTTCTTTTTTTCTCTGGCGCGCTGAAAGGATCAAGAGAAGTGGAAAGGAAACGACTTCCTTGATCCACCGCGACCCGTAAAACGAGCAAGAGAAACGACTGGTTACGAGTCTGGATCTTTATACCTTGAGATGTCATTATTGAACTTAACCAAGTAGGATGGCGGCAGCCTATTCTGTTTATCTCAGAGGAATTTCAGCTTTTAATATTAATTATACATTAAATTTGTTTCTAAACTTAGGCAGTGTAATGGGAAGTCGTTCTGGACAGCTAGCAATCATTTGCAGAACAAATTTTTGCTTATTTCAAGAAGCGGTTCGGGTTTGTCAAAATGGAAAAAATAAGATTGCATTTGCTGGGGTAAGATGTAATCAACTTTTTTCCCTATATTCACTCTCGAGACTGTATTCAAGTCTTCTTCATGGCTCCCTGCGCCATCTTGAAAAGGTAAACGTGCCTTTGCATCGAAACGAGACGACCGTTGAGCGTGCAATGGGAGATACCTACCTTCCACGCCTATAAAACATTTTCACAGGTATCTATCACGCTCAGCGGACATATCGCTCCAGTACAAATGCACGACAAATTTTGGAGATGGTGAGAGGAGAGCGTGAAGGAAACTATTTTCAGGTGACGTCGAGATATAATTATTTCAGAGTTCGTTTGGACAAGTTGATGTGTATTGTTCTGTCTTTCTTTTCAAAGGGAATAAAAGGCTACCAATTAGACCGTGTTCTGGCTATTTATAAACTCTCAGTCGGAGGTATTCTAGTCATTTTTCTTTTTTTTTTATTATAATATTGTAATCCTTTTTTCTCATTTAAAGTGCTACTTGAATGTGAATGTTCATTTATTCACTAGAGTGGGTCAGTGACACTTTCCTCAGACAGTTTAAATACATCAATGCCCTCAAAAATTATGCTCGCGAAGCAGCCGACAAAGAACTTATGGGAAAGATAAAGGTAACTATGAACTAATCTGATAGAATAAGCTTATAAGCAATGGTCTTCCACGTTAATGTCGCCGTGAAAAYTAGGCGACGTACATCAATGGATTTTCGGAGGACGAAGTTTCTTTGCGAAATGAAAGGTGCATGCGCATCCARCAACCTTTGCGCGAATTTCCCACGTAACATATTATTATATTTTATTGCCATACATTTTCATTAACATTTTTGAACATTAGATTTTGCTTTTTTGTTGTTTTCAGATTGTCGAATTCTATGGAGCGGCTGTCCCCGGTCATATTAAATCAATTGAAAGTTTAGCTACAGAYTCAATAGAGAGTGCAGGTAAGACAACAAATATTTAAAAATATATAAAAAATATTTAAAAAGACGGTTTCTACTCTGCATCACCTATAACAAAGGGTAAACATAAAGACAAACTAACATCAAGCAGGGGAAACATAGCAGSTTAAAGCGACAAAGTCCAACAGCATGCATCGCGGTCGTATTCTAGATTTTTTTATATATGGATGGTAAGGTGACTTCAAATATCCATTCACAATCCACCAGTTAAAATGTCGAGTCTTAAGCATAAAGGGATAATAAAGAGTAGGTTTTTGCTTATATTACGACGTATTTTTATTTTTGACATAATCAAAAGCTCGAAAGGGATGCTTGTGGACATGACCCTTTAAAACAAGTCATTGTTAGCTACTGTCTGATGTAGTATTTGCATTGAATGACTTGCGAATGCATGCTTATAAAGTCCACATTTAGCGTCAGTGCATTTTGGTTAGGCTTTTAAAAAAACGCGCCATTTTGGATGTCTGTTTTTTCTTTCAGATATAATTTTCTCCACTGTCCACAAGGCAAAAGGATTGGAATTTGATACCGTCAGAGTCGCCGATGATTTTTGTGTYGATAACAGTGTAAATGGAATCCCAGGTATTTTTAAGCTTCTTAATCTATAGCAATTTCAGAAAACGTTGAAAACCTGTTAAGGGTGTACTGACATATCCGTTGCTAGGGAAATTCAGTAGTTCCCTAAAATGACAAACAAAAGTAAAATCGCTTTCGTATTGAGTATTAAGCCTTCCCAAACAAAAATAACACATTCTATGACGTCATCGCGTGACGTCATTAATACGAAAAAATGCTATAATTTCATCAAGCAAAGTATATTAAACGATTTAAAATAGATGAAATTAATCTTTAGATCTAAGTCCGTAAAGCCAAGCATGCGTTTTTAGAATGATTGCCAATAACTTTCGTATTTTTTTATTTTTCACCAAACCCATGCTTGGTTCTGAAGAGGAGGCTCTGAAGAACATAGATATTGAAAAAGCACTTCCATTTGATGTTTTGCACCGAAGATTATATTTTTTAAATGATACCATACATTTTATGTAAACAAAAACCTTTCCACCGGAAGTAAAAATTTTCCCGCCATGAAAACGCGCGCGCGCCCGCTTCTCCGATTGGCTAGCATCGGCTAGCATAGCAACCAGGTCGTCTAGAAACGGATACGTCAGTACACCCTTAACATTGAATACTTTCAAAGTGTAAGAGCGACCAACAATGCATTGCTGTCTTAGAATACAGTATTTAGACTTCAACGTTTCTAAAATAGATATACAGATTTATASATATTGTTCAAATTCACAGCATTTTTGCTAATTTAACTATTATTAATCAATTATTGTGTTGGTATAGGAAGTTCCACCGTTCAAACACAATTTTAATTATTAAAATAAAAAGTATGGCGCCGTRTTTTATGAAAATGCTCGTTRATTGCGTAGTAATATATGTGGTGCATTTTGTATCATTCAGTGGAAAATCCTGAAGATGAGAAGAACATGCTGTATGTTGCTGTAACGCGAGCCAAACGTCGGCTACAGATCAACAATGTCGTCAAGAACGTGCTGAAGATGAATAAGGTAAAACAAAGGACTCATCCTCAGTCGACTATTTATTTCGCGAATTTAGSGAATTTTAAAAAAMCCTCAAAAAKAATGTTTWCCCMAAAATGCAGTTGCTCGCAACTAATTAACTTGCACAATTTTATCGCCTGAGATTCTAAATTTYAATTTAAAGACTTACTTTTTGAATTTGTTCATCTTGCAGGAACAC